GCAGGGAAAATGGCCGCGGATCCGGTTCGTAAGTCGAGGCGAGTTCGTATCCCGAGGTAAAATTTTCCTGCCAAAGCTGGTCGTAACCTGAAACGTTCGTTAGTAGAGGCATTCGTATCCCGAGGTACCACTGTACATAAAAACAATTACACATAAAAAACTGTAAAAACACAAAATATTATTATTAATCATATTTATATAGAAATACAAAAGAATAACAAAAAGAGAAAAAGCAAACAATAACTGTAAATTATATAAGGTTTTTTATCCATATATAGATGTGAAATTTTACTTTCAATAAAAGTTATCTATGTTTTATTGTAACTGTTCATACATAATCTACCTCTGTAGGGAACTTGTTCATAAACATCAGCTCTTCAATTCACTGGGTAATTGGAGCCTTTAATTTGTCTTCCTAATGTTGAAGAACTAATCTCTTGGCAATAATTGGGGCATGGAGAATCCATTTCTTTTGTCCAGCTGTCAATTTCTATTTAGTTGATATGTAGTTCAAAAGAAAGTGGCTCTGAAAGTCGGATTGATATATTTAATTATATCTTATCAGAACATAACTTTAGAAGTTATGGAAAAATCTGTGTTTCAATGAAGTATTATTCTGTCTGCATGTCTAGCAACATCATGATTTAATCATTCTTTTCCTGCACAAATGCAACAGGATCCAATAAGTCTGAAATACTTTTTTTGTTATATAAGCCACAATCTGAGACATAGTGAGGTTTTTAATATTAAGGCTAAAACATTTTCCTATAGTTTAAGCAAAATAGGGGTTTCTAGTTATTTATGCCTTCAGTCTTTAAAATGTGCCTATCAATTTGATTTATTGATAACAGATTTTATAAAGATTGTGGGCTTTTTGGTCTCATAGGATTTAGTGATCTCTTTTAATAGTTTAGATTTCTCTGAGGCTGAAAATTCCACTGGTCCAAATCGAGTTATCAGTAAATATTGTAATTATAAATACTGCCAGTGGGTGACAGCTGACAAGTCGTATTTATCTTTTAGCACAGAAAATGATAAAATCATTATCATCTACTAGTTGATCTAATGTAACAATCCTAGCATTCAACCAGATCTTCCATACAACTGTTTGTTTTTTTATGAATTTTGAGTTCTGGATTGCCCCATAACATCAATTTTGCATGAGAAAAGGGATTGAATGCATTTTCCAGAAATAATATACCACAGTTTTTGAAATAGCATAATACGAACAGAAGATATAGTAAATCTACTATATTTTAGACCCCAAACAGTCCAAGTAACCAAAAGTGTTATATAGAAATATTTGAAAAAATAATACTTTAGGAATTAGAATTGGTACTAGTCAGAAAGTATGCGGAATGGTATAATTCAAGAATCAGAAGACCAGATCTCCCATCTTTAACTGTCAATTATATATTTTTCAAAGATAGCTTTGGAACTGAAGAACCCTGTAAAAACTTATGAAATCATACATTGCATTTTTAAAATATGTTCTAGATGTGTGTGTAGGAATATAAAGTATCCTGGGAATTACATCATTTTAAGGATAAGGTTTAATGACTCCACAAAAATCTCTATATATATCTCATTCTTGAGAAATTTTGTTCAGTAAGAATATCTAAATAATTGATATATTCAGTACATAATCAAAATCATAATCAAATCATTAATGTACGAACAAACAAGTCTTTACCAGTATCAATTCCAGTTAGACCAGTTAACAGACTATCCTGCAGTTTGACCAAAGGCGTTAATCAAATGCATCAAAGCCAAAATTGAAGTATAAGCAATTGAAGTGTAATATATCATCAGCATGTAATACTAATTCATATTTTAATGAATTATGCAAAAATCCATGGATATTATAATCTTATCTAATAGTACAAGCTAAACATTCTAAAATATATCAAAAAGGAAAATGGATATACTTGTCTAATCCCTTTTTAAAGCACAAAATATGTTTTTATCTTGTATGCTTTATTTTGTATGTTCAATTTTGTAACTCTGTAGGTTTTATTTAGTCTGGGTCGCTGACCTGTAATAAAGAATTTGAATTTGAATGAAGTAAAAAGGGTGAAAAAAATGCCATTAACCGTCACTTTGGATTTGATGGCCTCATAGGTAATCTGAATCTACCTTATAAATTCTTTAGGAAGTCCACAAGTAGCTAAGTAATATACACAAGTTGTGTGTAAAGTTTCTCAAAGGCCTTTCCTGCATCTAGGAATAGATCAATCAGAACATAATATTACAATAAGCACAGTGGTGTCCATTAACTCCTTAAAGGCTCTTTGGAGCAGCGTAATCTTTAGTAGCTTCTGGATTACTGGCAGTGGGGGTACTAAATTAATTTGCGGTGGACGGCTGTGCCACAATACAGAGGGCACAGCTGAGAAGCACTGCCTGGAGCCCTAGTGCTCCTCAGCAATGGACTTGGTGATGACACCAAAAGATGACAGCGGCATGTACGCACTAGATGAGTTAGGCAGGCTGATTCTATACAGACAAAGCACTCATGTAAGATCCTAGGTGCTGAACCATGGAAGACTTCATAAGTTAAAACTAGCACTTTGAATTGCTCCTGGAAACCTTTTGGTTGCCAATGCAGTGTCCGTAAAACAGGTGTTATATTACTATGGAATCTTTGATTTGCCAGTATACAGACCACCCCATTTTGTGCAAACTGCAGTTTCAGAGTGGTTTTCAAAGGCAGCCCCAGAGTAGAGCACACTGCAGTAATCCAAGCATATAAGCACAGTAAAGGCATAAGTTACTGTTCAGTACGCACAACATCTTCCACATAACACCACCTATGGAATCTCACCATGTCCCACCTCTATGACTTTTCCCAATCTTCCTCTCCACTCCACTTTCTGGGACAAGATCCAGATAGTTGATCCAGCCTCTCAAATCTCAGCCGTCTCTATCTTCCATTAGGCTGCCTCACCAACAATTATGGCCTCCATGCTGTTGATGTGACACTGCCCCCTTCCACTCCTACCCCGAGCCATTGCTTCCAAAGGCGTTGCCTTCCCAACTTGCTTCCTTAATGCTTCCACCACTGCTGTCCAGGGATGAGTCTGTCAGTATTCTAAATAAACTTCTCAGTGACATTCAGCCAACCTTCCTTCCTTTTCTCCTCTCACTCCTATTATACTCCTCTACCCATTGGCCATCCAATTCATCTAGTCTCCCTTTCCTCTCTAACCCAATCATATCTTCTCTTCTAACTCTCTCCATTCCCCTCAGTATAAAATGATCGTAAACCAGCCATACAGACCTAAACTGTAGCAGGCCTGATGACAGCTTAACAGTGTGCTTTACATCTCCTAGACAGCTAAAATCGCCTAGTAAATGCCTCCCACCTTTCCTCCCTCCCTCCCTCCCTCCCTCCCTCCCT